ATGGTCAAAAGCGAAAGTTGTAGCCCTATACTGTAACTTCCCAAATCTGTTTGAATTATGTTCTGAAGTGCTCCTGTTGTGGAGATATGAGGTAAAGGAATTTCAAAAGTGTCGTGTTTTTTTTGTTTTTTGTGTTTTTCTCGATGAAAACAAAACCAAATAACATGATTTCAGTATATTCAGAAAGCTAAAAGAAAGGGCTACAATTATTGTATTGTGGGAAAAATGACCAAAAAAGGAAGTACTATCAGAGTCAGATATAGACTACCAAGTTTACTGATAGACTACAAAAAAGTCGGACTTACAAAAGTTGAACTTAGACTACAAAGTTTACTAATACACTACAAAAGACTACAAAAGTCTATAGACTACCAAGTTTACTGATAGCCTACAAAAAAGTCAGACTTAGACTAGAAAGTTTACTGATAGACTATAAAAGACTACAAAAGTCGGACTTGGACTACAAAAGCTTGGACTTAGACTACAAAGTTAGGGTTAGGGTCAAAAGGTTATCTTGCCTACAATGTTTGTAGTGTCCGCTTTTTGAGACTACAAAAGTTTGTAGTGTTGCGCTTTTTCATTAGAAAAGTTTGTAGTTGACATGTAGTTTATGGTGTCCTTGGCCCTATCTATGTTATGGGGATGAGGTTGAAGGATTGCCATCATGTTGCCAGTGCTGTAGCATTAGTTTTTGAGATCATGCACAAGTTGTCTTTCATATTAGGAAAGGCTATTCTATGCCTTCATATTGATACCTACTGTCCTATCTCAAAACATAATTGTAAGCTCATGTAGGGATATGGCTGAAGGATTGACATGACTTGACATATTGCTATTGCCACATCATCAGTTTCTCACATCATGCCCAAGTTGGCTTTCAAGCTAGAGGAGGCTATTCATGTTGATATCTACTCAATACATGGTCAACTTACAACATGACCTGACTTAAAGACACCTCCAAGGATGAATCAGCCCATCATCCTATGGCCCTCAAAGAGCTGTATCAAAGTTGACTATGTTTGGGACAGGCCAGTAGCTATGAATGTGAAAGCAGACAGTGTGAAAGCCAACTTGGTCATGATGTCAAAAACTGGCAATGTCATGTCAATCCTTCAGCCATATCTCCACATGAACTCATAATTATGTTTTAAGATAAGACAGTAGGTATCAATATGAAAGGCTTAGAATAGCCTTTCCTAATGTGAAAGACAACCTGTGCATAATGTCAAAAACTCATGCTGCAGCACTGGCAATATCATGGCAATCCTTCAACCTCATGCCCATAACCTAGACAGGGTCAATGACACCACAAACTACATGGCAACTTGTAGTCTCAAAAAGTGCACACTACAAACTTTTCTAATAAAAAAATGAACACTACAAACTTTGTAGTCTCAAAAAGTGCACACTACAAACTTTCTAATGAAAAAGCGGACATGACAAACTTTTGTAGTCTTAAAAAGCACACAACACAAACTTTTTTAATGAAAAAATGAACACTACAAACTTTGTAGTCAGGATAACCTTTTGACCCTAACACTAACTTTGTAGTCTAAGTCCAAGCTTTTGTAGTCTAAGTTCGACTTTTGTAGTCTTTTGTAGTGTATGAGTAAACTTTGTAGTCTAAGTTCAACTTTTGTAGTCTATCAGTAAACTTTGTAGTTTAAGTCCGACTTTTTTGTAGTCTATCAGCAAACTTGGTAGTCTATATCTGACTCTTATAGTACTTCCTTTGTTGGTCATTTTTCCCACGATACAATAATTGTAGCCCTTTCTTTTAGCTTTCTAAATATACTGAAATCATGTTATTAGGTTTTGTTTTCATCGAGAAAAACACAAAAAACAAAAAAAAACATGACACTTTTGAAATTCCTTTACCTCATATCTCCACAACAGGAGCACTTCAGAACATAATTCAAACAGATTTGGGAAGCTACAGTATAGGGCTAAAATCACAATGATATCGGCCAGATAAATAATGAAAATCACAATGATATTCACCAAGTAGCTAATGAAATTTCCAATGATATCACCCAGGTTTCTAATGAAAATCGCAATGATATTGACCAAGTAGCTAATGAAATTTCCAATGATATCGCCCAGGTTTCTAATGAAAATTGCAATGATATCGGTCAGATAAATAATGAAAATCGCAATGATATTGGCCAGATAAATAATGAAAATCACAATGATATTGACCAAGTAGCTAATGAAATTTCCAATGATATCACCCAGGTTTCTAATGAAAATTGCAATGATATCGGCCAAGTAGCTAATGAAATTTCCCATAATATCGCCCAGGTATCTAATGAAAATCACAATGATATCAGTCAGATAACTAATGAAAATCGCAATGATATCGGCCAGATAAATAATGAAAATCACAATGA